CAATTAATTACACAAAGAATTGTTCAAAAATTAATTTACACTTGAACCAAAGGTCATTAAGATTATTTAACATAGGTAATGCATGTACAGAATTTAAATTTATGTAGTATGTACAAACGAATCAAAATACTTAAACAATTGCACATTCAAGAATAAACTTTCATTTTCAGAAATACTGATCGTATTATCTCCCCATAACAGAACATGAGTGTCTACAATACTTAAGTTAATCATTCTAAAAATAGCATTAAACAGGTCGTTCCTTGGAGTATTGTATTTCGCACAAGAGAAAAAGAAATGATATGCGTCTTCTATTTTTCCACAAGTACATAATGGACTGTCAATAATATTACACCTAAATAAGTCTTTATTTAGAACACAATTGTGTCTTAATCTAGTATGAATTACACTCCAGTAACGATCACCAAAAGTAAAAAAGGACGGGGTAGGTGTTCTATGAGAGTTTACACAGTTTTTGAAGGAACCTATAGTAGTAGATTGTCTTGTTTCAAGAGACAAAGAGTTCCACTCCCTTATTGCCATTGGAACAAATGATGATTTATATATATTTAATCTACACTTCGGGATGCAATAATTTTGTGACTGTCTTGTTACGTAATTTGATTCTTGTGATCGAATATTTGGAAATATTTCTCTCAGATACTCGGGTACCATGTTATAATATATTTTATACATAGTTGTTCTAACTTTGGACATTCGTCTTACAGCAAGTGGTTCCCAACCAGTTTCAAAATAGAGAGAATCTCGCGATGCTAATGAAGTTAAACCAGTGACTATTCTTGCCGCTGCAAGTTGTAATTTTTCTAATTTTTCGGAATCTTGACTAGAACACCCACACCAAACTTCAGTTGCGTATTCTAACTGAGGTCTTATAAAAGAAGTATATAAAAGAGATAAAGTTTTAGCACTGACCCTGAATTGCAGTTTTTTAAGTAGACCTAATTCTTTATATGCATTGGTCACGATAGAATCAATGTACGCTGACCAAGTGAGGTCGTTTGAAAAGAGAATACCTAAGTGATTATGTAATGATACAAAATCTAAGTCACAATCTTGAAATTTGAGCAATGGTAAATCTACATTTTTCTTGGTACTAAAAAATACAGCTTTGGTTTTCGTAGGATTAAATTTCAATAGCCACTGTTTAGACCACCGCTCAAGTTGATTTAAATCATTATTTAAACCTAATTGAATATCATGTACATTTTCTGAACATTTCTGTAAAGAATTATCATCAGCATATAATCTGCTTAAGGTCGACAAATTTTCAGCAACATCATTGACATATATCAAGAATAAAAGTGGTCCCAATACAGACCCCTGGGGGACTCCAGCATGTAAAGATTTAAAACTAGACATAGTATTCCTATGCAATACTCTTTGTGTCCTTAAATCTAAATAACTTTGAAACCATAGTAATAACTTATCACTAACACCATATGTTTGTAGCTTAAAGAGAAGACCTTTATGCCACACCCGATCAAATGCCTTAGACAAATCACAAAAAACCATACAACAGTGTTTTCCTTCATCAATGGCTTTAGCTATGTAATCGTATGTCTCAATAAATTGATAAACAGTTGAATGGCCTGGTAAAAAGCCAGCCTGATATTTATAAAAAAGATTGTTAGAATGAAAATAATTATAAACATATTTGAAAATAACTCGCTCCATAATTTTGCCTACGCAGCTTAATAATGACACAGGTCTATAATTTGATAATAATGATGGGTCACCTTTTTTAAATAAAGGAAGTACATTAGCTACCTTCCACTGTTTAGGAAATACACATTCCCTTAAAGATCTGTTAAACAAAATACACAAAGGAAAAGAGACGCTAAAAATGGTAGCTTTCAACATTTTATGACTGATATTGTCAGGTCCTATGGCCTTGTTCACAGGGAGAATAGAAATTATATCAATAATGTCCTGCTCAACTAATTCAATGCTATTAAGAACACTATTACACAATAAAGAAAAGGCAGGTAATTCAGGTTCGACATCATGCGAAGACGAAATCGAAGCAAAATAGCTGTTTAACGCTTCAACCTTGTCAATATCGCTGTAAGTAATATGTATATTTCCATTTTCTGTAGTGTCCTGCAGCGGTGGAATATCGGACCTAACCTTGGTTTTAAAAACATCTTTTAATAATTTCCAATAAATTTTAGAACTTTTGATACTTGCTTCGATAAGATTGGTCTCAATATTGTTGTAATAGTTTGCCATTGCTACTTTTTTCATGTTATTTACTTTGTTACGTAGTTTTTTAAACTTATCCTTATCTGATTCTTTTTTTGTTTTGTGGGCTTTATCTCTTGCACGATTTCTCTGTCGAACCGTTTTTCGCAATGCGGAATCGAACCAAGGTTTATCTTTAGGCCTAATAGTTACTGTTTTTTCGGGAATACAATTTTTGACATGGTTTAAAAAACTTGTTGAGAAATTACTCTCCGCCTGATCTATATCTTTAGCGTCATTAATAAGTGCATTCCAATCTGTATTGCGTATGAGTGTGTTTAGTGTCTCAAAATCTGCATTTTTATATAGCCATATTTTCCTTTCATATGATTGTGTTTGTACTGTATGTGATTTAAGATATATATATGTGCCTTTGTGATCGCTAAGAGATTGTTCTACATCTATTGTCCCAGAGTCCAGTACATCGGCATGTAAATTTTCGCTGACAAGAATTGGGTCTATGAGAGATTTCGTGTTTTTCGTGACTCTAGTAGCGTCGTATACTGTATTTTGAAAGGAGTATTTTAAAAGAATTTCATTGACTACATGTGTGATTTGAAGATTTAGAAAGTTTACATTTAGGTCACCTATGACTAAAATTCTATCGGATATATCAACAGCTTTTTCAAGAGACCATTCGAACTTTTTCCAAAAAGAATTACCGGAGTTAGGAGGACGATACACACAACAGAGCAAGATGTTGCAGATAGGATCGCTTATTTCTACCCATACACATTCAAGGTTCACCGGTTCAAGATCAAGGCGTCTATTAGTGCGCAACGAGTCAGATGCATATATAATTACACCGCCCCCATGTGAGTTTCTATCTTTACGAAAAATTGAATTATATCCGTCAATAGGAATGTCTTCGTTTAAAATGTTAGCATCAAGATGGGTTTCTGTGAAACATAAAATATCGAAATCTGACACAATACTCAGAAACTTATCAAACTTGTTTCTAATACTTCTTACATTTAAATGAAAAATGTCTAGAGTGGATTGTATACTTTGAGATGGCCCCGGATTTGTCTCTATGTCGCCTGACAACAATATAAGGAAGTACATAATTTGTAACACATAATTTAAAAAAATAGTTTCTTGTGCCCATTTTGACAGTAAGCATTTGGTATTATTCCAAATATAAGAAAGACACTCAATAAAAAAATAAACAAAATCATTAAATCTTAGTACATAAAATAGCAGTGATTTTGATGTACATCTACACTTACAATAGAAAAGTCCGATTGCGGCCCGATATTGTTCTATTGTATTAGCCATTTTCAAGACATAGAGAGACGTATAAAGCAATATTTGAACCAGCCACAAGGAGACATATAATAAGTAAACATGCAAATTTGTTTGTATGACCTTTGGTTAAAAATAAAAACGAAAAAACGTTGAAAAAAAGTTTGCGTAGAAAGAAATCAAAAAACAAAGAAGAACAGAACAATAATGAAGGAAACAAAATAAAAATTGTGAACAAGCATGAGGAAAATGGCACCTCTGTGTCACTAGTCAAAACATGGCGCGTAGTGACAGATGCATTGTTGAATGACAATAAAAGTAAATGTACTATGTACAAGATTTTCCAAGTAACAGTAGTCATACTGTAATTATAATGGGAGAGTTTAGAGGTAAACAAGAAATATCTTAAATAGTCCATACTGATATGAATTAATAGTTATTATTAATTTGAAAAGTCTAAATTTAAGATTGCTTTAAACACTTTTGATTTCAAGTTTATTGATGAATTGAAACACCACTTAATAGTTAATGGGTACCGGACTTACATGTCCTCAGAAATAACATCCTCTGGTGGATAGGACTGTGGTGGGACCAGTTCATACAAATCTCTAATAGACTGGATCATGTATTTGCGACCCTTTTCGCACAACTGGGTAAATATCCGTCCATCGCTTGTCCAAAAGGAATGTACTTTCTCAGCACGTTTCGCACTTGCCAGTTCTTTGACAATTGATTGTCTGTATTTAGTAAGGTCTTCGGTTATGAATATCGTAGAGCCTTTTAGCTTTCGTTTGGCTGTGTAGATTTTATTTTTTACTTTCCAATTTTTAAAGCGACATATAATTTGAATATTGCCGTCTTTGTTGGGTTTACCAATGGGATGTGACCTAAAAATGTCATCCTCTTTGAGCTCTACGGATAAGTGCTGATTGCATATAGAAATTATTCTAGCATCCGTGTCTGTGCCTTGGTCGGGAACCGGGCAATTGTGAAATCTTAAGGAATTTTTATTTATTTATTAAATTCATGGGCAACTGCACACCACAGATACTTTGAATGAAGTCAAAAATTTACACCCCCCCTTCTGATTTTTTCTTTTAAAACTTATGAAACACGGCTTTAAACTTGAGAAAAATTACATTGGTTTAAAAAAAAATCACATCTTCTTGAGTAAGTTATCTTGGATTTAAACATAAATATCCAACAATGGAAAACTTTAAACACAGTGTTTGGAATATAATATAATTAGGATTGCAATGGATCTTTCGTATTCTGTAAAGTCAGTTGAAACAATGCCCCCCCCCCCCCCCCATGAGACACTGTCCCCCACAAGTATCATTTTAAGGAAGTTCTTCCTTTCATTTTACTAGGTTCCTGCCAACATCTCATCACACCAACTATATCAATCTCCTTTTCTTTTTTTTCACATGTAAATATAAATTCTGAAAACAAGAGAACTTCGCTTTTTTTATTTTTTATATATGCAACATTTAGAGTACATGTATTCTCAACTACGGTACATTTCATTAGATTTACGTGACAAATTCTACTGTTTCTGCTGCTCTGAAAATCTTGTCGCTGATTTTTCAATTTTAGAGTTTTTGTTGGTCAGGCATGTACCAGTAATGACCTACATTGACATACGCAAGTAACACTGATAATTAGTTAATGAGAATTATGCGGAGTTGAGTTTTTTTGGCAAGGTACAGGATAAAGCATGATAAGTTCTAAAACATATTGTTATACAGCATAAGATTTGAGGATGCCATCACATAATATGATAAACATGTTCCTATTATATTTGAACTTTGACATCTCAAACACTGATATCTTGAAGACAGTGGGTACAAGTATGTTGAAGTAGGTTGGAATTCAGCTTTCACTTGCCTGGTTTCAAACCTAAAATATGGCATCCCTTCTCAACCTGCAATGGTAAATAATTCCTGCACTTTCCAATATACACTGATTTCAAGCTAATTAAATGTGTATGTAATCCTTTAGAAAGTTGTTTTCTTTATTCTAGTATAATAAAATAATTCTTCTGTTACTGGACAGGTATTAAATTTTGTTTAAAAAAAAAGAAATAAGCAAGGTTTAAATTTAGATATAAAACTGAAATATTTTTTAACAATTAAAGGACAGATGATACAAACAAACTTTTGTCAAAGAATTTGAAAATAACAACTGGGCTAATGTTTAAATCATTAAAATTAATAACTTTCTTCGAGTACTTTTTATTCATATTTGCATAAAAATGGAATTTGAAGTAAAAAAATTTTGTATAGATTAATAAGGATAGTTTCAAGAGGGCAGACTTTTGAACATCACAGAAGGTTTACAATTTCTTAATATTATAGAAATATTAATTTATTAATAGCATCATTAATTTGCAAATAAATTATGCCAAAAAATATATACCAATCCAGGCATCCATTTTTTGTTTGTATCATCTGTCCTTAATTTACTTTCATATTTTAAGAATGGTTACCTCGAAGAGAACAAAATCTAGGCTGTCCACTTTCTTGCAGAATGCACTTGAACTTCAGTCATGGCCTGTTTGGTCCTGTTTTGGTTTACTGGTCTTACTTTTTCTTTATTCATCTTATATGGTAAATCCTTTGATGAAACATAGGTAATCAGAGATTACAGAGCTCACCTCAACGAATGTTGTCTTTAAGTAAGGCAAAGTCACACAATTAACCAACAAGAAGTATACATTCCAAAAATGAAAATATTTTTAAAAGCAATTTTGATCTGATACTTTGAAATAGACCTACATAAAAAATTTAAACTACTTCTTCTTCATGAAAATGTAATGAAAATCCAGCATCTGAAGCAAATTTGAGAGTTTTCATCTCTTGATGCAGCATTTATGCAAGTTTGGTTTATACAATGTTATATAAGCCTTATAGTTTTTGGTAATAGACCTGCAACCATAACTTTTACCTTGTCTATTATCTGAAAAATGTATGTCCAATTCAGCATCCGAAGCAAGTCCATTAGTGTGCATCCTTAGATGTATCATCCATGCAAGTTTGCTCATTATAGGGCTCATAGTTTATTGGAAATGAAACATGCATCAAAACTAACATTTTCACTCATCCACAAAAAGTAGGTCAGATTCAGCATCCGAAGTAAGCCTGGAAGTATGCATCCTTAGATGTATCATCTATGCAAGATTGGTCATTAAAGAACTCATAGTTCCTTGGAAATGAAACCTGCACCAAAAACTTTTAACTATTCACTCAACCGGAAAATGTAGGTCAGATTCAGCATCCGAAGCAAGCCTGGTAGTGTGCATCCTTAGATGTATCATCCATGCAAGTTTGGTCAACATAGGGCTTATAGTTACTTGGAAACGAAACCTGCACCAAAAACTTTAACCTGTTCACTCAACCGGAAAATGTAGGTCAGATTCAGCAGCCGAAGCAAGCCCGGTAGTATGCATCCTTAGATGTATCATCCATGCAAGTTTGGTCAACATAGGGCTTATAGTTACTTGGAAATGAAACCTACACCAAAAACTTTAACCTGTTCACTCAACCGGAAAATGTAGGTCAGATTCAGCATCCGAAGCAAGCCCGGTAGTATGCATCCTTAGATGTATCATCCATGCAAGTTTGGTCAACATAGGGCTTATAGTTACTTGGAAATGAAACCTACACCAAAAACTTTAACCTGTTCACTCAACCGGAAAATGTAGGTCAGATTCAGCATCCGAAGCAAGCCCGGTAGTATGCATCCTTAGATGTATCATCCGTGCAAGTTTGCTCATTATAGGGCTTATAGTTACTTGGAAATGAAACCTGCACCAAAAACATTAACCTGTTCACTCAACTGGAGAATGTAGGTCAGATTCAGCATCCGAAGCAAGCCCGGTAGTATGCATCCTTAGATGTATCATCCGTGCAAGTTTGGTCAACATAGGGCTTATAGTTACTTGGAAACGAAACCTGCACCAAAGACTTTAACCTGTTCACTCAACCGGAAAATGTAGGTGGGATTCAGCATCCGAAGCAAGCCCGGTAGTATGCATCCTTAGATGTATCATCCATGCAAGTTTGGTCAACATAGGGCTTATAGTTACTTGGAAATGAAACCTACACCAAAAACTTTAACCTGTTCACTCAACCGGAAAATGTAGGTCAGATTCAGCATCCGAAGCAAGCCTGGTAGTGTGCATCCTTAGATGTATCATCCATGCAAGTTTGGTCAACATAGGGCTTATAGTTACTTGGAAACGAAACCTGCACCAAAAACTTTAACCTGTTCACTCAACCGGAAAATGTAGGTCAGATTCAGCATCCGAAGCAAGCCCGGTAGTATGCATCCTTAGATGTATCATCCATGCAAGTTTGGTCAACATAGGGCTTATAGTTACTTGGAAATGAAACCCACACCAAAAACTTTAACCTGTTCACTCAACCGGAAAATGTAGGTCAGATTCAGCATCCGAAGCAAGCCCGGTAGTATGCATCCTTAGATGTATCATCCATGCAAGTTTGGTCAACATAGGGCTTATAGTTACTTGGAAATGAAACCCACACCAAAAACTGCACCAAAAATGTTAACCTGCTCCAAAAACATTAACCTGGTAATTCCTTTGCTGAAATTGCAGCATCTGAAACTTTGACTGGTACAATAAAACACATTTGAAGCATCTTCCATGCATGTCTCATCAGTATAGGACACAGAAGTAATTAAAAAGAAAACTGCTCCAAAAAACTTAACCTTAACCTGGGACGCCGACGCCGACGCCGACACCGACACCGACGCCGACGCCGAGGGTATCACATAAGCTCCCCCCAACTTCGTTGAGGTGAGCTAAAAAATGATGAAAATAATTATTTTCCTAGGAACATGAACAAAAGGAAAATTCATTTCATTCATACACAGACATGTTCATGTGTGTGATCATCTTACCAGTAGTGAATATTTGCCTGAGTATCAAATAATTTGTTTAGAATATTATAAAACATGGTCAGTGTGTATAACACAAATATCATTATAAATCAGAGGTGAATATTCTACATGTACATGTATATGGTTTTATTATACCCTCCGCTTGAAAAGTGGTAGGGTATACTGTAATTGGTATGTCCGTCTAGCTGTACGTCCATCTGTCTGTATGTTCGTCTGTCTGTTACACTTTAGGGTACCCATCTCTTATTATCCGCAACTCCTCTTATACCACTGCAATGAGTGAAATTTAATTAACCTTTCACAGAATCTTTATTACATATTGGCATTGTGCACCTCCTATTTTACTTTTTGATTCGACACATATTTTGGGTTTCCCGGCCACAGTAAAACATGGATTTGTCATCAGTTATAACCATATGGGAGGCAGGGGGTATCATTTAGTGAGCTCATTGCTCACAGTTCCTCTAGTTAAATTTTGTTTTAACAATAATACATATGTACAAGTGTACATATATATTTTTTAACTGTTTGCTATTTGAAAAGATTTTTATTCACACAAAATTGAACTATAGATTATACAGTACCGGTACTTCACAGACAAATGAAAGAGTCTATATAAACAAAAATAACTCAATATTTCCAGTGCATTCTTTACCTAGATCTATTTTGTCAATACATATAGTACAGTTTTGGATATATATAATAAATATAAAGTTTAAAAGATAGAAGCTATTAAATAAAACAATGACATCAAAACAAAAAAGGTGTTTTCCTATTTTCTGCTTATGAACATCACATGACCATATTTTGCTGATATACAGAATACTATTTAAAAAACTTAGCTACTTTATGCTTGTGCTCACACATTATAAACGTTTGATGCACTTTTTTTATAGAAACAAACTTGCTCTAGTTAAATATTTTAACAACACAATTCTGTAAAATATGTGCCTAATGCCAATAAAGAATTGAAATAATAGGATAAACAATGAATGAAAACTGACAGAAGTGGAAATTTATATTATAAAGATAATAATGTTCACTTAAAAGTCTCTCTCAGCAGCTCAGCACATCATAAAAAGTAAACCTACTGAATGGCACAGATTTTATACAATCTCTATATAGACATTTATACATTTATATTTCGGGAGGGGGGGTCAGCTGTATCAGCAAGTGATGTTTATATGCTTCAAATTCATTTTTATTAATAAAAAAATTAATTCATTGGTCAGAAAGTCAAACTGTCAAAAGGTATAGTTCGCTTGATTTGATAAGGACCACTGACCACTACCGGTAAAACAACTGTGTATTGTAAGGCAAATAAAATTAAGAAAATATGCATTTGTTAATCTTGATATTTTTGTAATGTTCAGTATATACATAAATTTACCTTCTGTCTTCATTGTTTAGGATGTCTAGCCTTCTTTTCTTCTTCCAGACTGTAAAACTTTGACGAGATCTTTCGCCAGAAAATGTTCATTGCTGTTTACTAAATACACATTGTACCTCCAAACGTTAGAGAGTAGTTCAATGGAAGTAATTGGGAAGCAAAAAATGCTTCAAAATGTAGAAAAAAGTAATCTTTACCTTTGAATTCCTTTTACATCTTTGAGTCTCCCACCAATATTTTACACATTTTGATATAATCAAATATCAGCCTTTCATAATTAATTATTACTAAATTTGTAATCAGTGTGCCTTTTTTTGTTTTAAGCCTCCAAAAACTCCACTAAACCAATCACATATCTGATATGTTATGATATGTAAAATGGCCATTTACTATTGAGAGATTAAATTAAAACTACAGATATAATTTCTTTAATATGTAGTATTAAATTTAAATAATGAAAACATATTAAGTTACCCCCTTTTATTTCTGGACACAGTTTTTCTTGATAAGTACACGTTTTTCGAAATTAACGAAATTGAGAATTTTGCACCCCGTTTCTATGGCAACCAAGGGTCTATTTCATAAACCCACTTTAGATTTTATAATGAATGACATAGCTGTTTAAAATTATTATAAAAAAATTAAAATGTTTTTCTATGCGTGGCCAACCAATTTTGATAATTACAGAGAATTGATATTAAAAGCTTTTTGAAAATACTATGTTTTTCTTATATTGACCGAGATCAAGGATGTATAATATGATGCCGAATAAGAATGAATCGCACGTTTGTGCTACAATGCGGGGTAAAAAAAAAAAAGTACCATTGCATATGATGCACTCGGCTCGATCTAAAGTACCTAACGATGGACGTACAGTACGGCTGACAAGGATCTTGATTTAAAAAAAAAATCATTTGAGGAGATTTTTTCCCCATTTCGGAATAGGAAAGTATTCAGTTGGCTGGATATATACAAATGTATACATTTTTAAACTTAAAAAGTGAGGATTACTAGATGTACCGGTATACACAACGTATTTTTAAAGTCAAACATAAAAATATCTTATTTCCATTTACATATGTATCCAAACCTATAAAATATCCGATATCAATTTGGTTGGATATCTGTAGCCTATTTTTTGTTATGATTTTCTTCCATGATATATTTCATATTTTCAGTTATAAACTTCTAAATAAAAACAAGGCATTTCTTGTAAGCGTTACCCTCATTCGTAATGGCGATTACTTAATAAATGTTTTCATTTTTAATAAAAAGGACCAGATAAACGGAGAATATACTTATATACTCTATGTGCTTTGTATATGAGCTTTTGTGTTTTGTCAATTAAATTTGTCCAAATGAAATAACAAAACTCTACTCAAATAATCCTGGCTATGGAAAAACACATGATCAGTGGCGGACCTAGTTCGTGGATCGACTGGGGTCCCAATATAAATTTATTTAAGTTTCCAATCGTTGGACATTAATGACACACCAAGACTTTTAAAACATTGTGAATTACTAAATACATCTACACACAATGTTACACATAAATAAAATGGGAATGGATACTGCAGTTTGATAATAAATGGAAAGAATGTAGAACTTGTTTTATCATTCTTGAAAAATGCAAATACATCATGTTCCAAATAGAGCACGATTTTTGCAAATATTTTCCAAGACAACAAATTCTCTTTACATTTAGAATTCGTATTCATAAGATTTAAATAATTTATTATTTCCCAAACACTAAATTCAAGTTTTTGTAATAACACTTTTTAACCCAAATCTATGGCCATTATAACAAGAACACGACTGTATAATTATAAAATGAAATAATTGTCAAACAGGCCT